TATGCTGGCCACTTACTCAGAGAAAGGGTAGATTCAGTAGGATCTTGGGTAGAGAGATGGGTAGTCCTGTGAAGAGGGCAGTCTTCTGGTGGTGACTGGCAGACCACGGCCAGCTACCATCTTCCCAGTATGGGTCTTCATCTCTGACCTTTCTCCCATCTGCATATTCATATTTCTAACTGCCGGACACATCCACCATGGGAGTGGACATCTCACACTCAGTATTTTCAAACTAGAATCTTTGGTTTTTCCCCTCAGTCATGCTCCTCTCCTTTGCAATTCTTAGGTAATATGTCGCCGTTCAACCAGTCACTGTTGCTAGAAAACACAGAATCATCTGGATTTTTCCATGCCCTCCACTCTGTTTTTGTCACATCTGTTTTCTCACCAAGCTCAGGCAATTCTATTTCTGAAAATATCTCTAACCCATCCTCTGCCAACCTCAAGCATTTATATTTACTCAGACCAGTATCAACTTCCCTGATGAACTTCCTACCTCCAATAGCTCTGAACAAGGAAACAGGACAACTCTGGAAAACAGTGACTCTGGTGGAAGGAGGTGGACAAAAAACCTGAGTGACAGTGAGTGGTCACTGATCAGAAGACTCAGGGACCTGTAGCTGTTTTAGCTCCTGGAAATAAGGCAGTGAGAGATATTGTCTAGTATCTGGTATGAAGTGAGCTGCTGATACTCCGGCAGGCAGAGCACCATTGTTTGCAGACCGCAGCAGGATCCATCAGGTCCCTCCAATTGCTACTGTAATAGCTCAGGAGATTAAATTCTGTTTTATTAAATGCTATTCATTGAGTACCTACCATATTTCAGGTCCTGGTCAAGACCATAGGGATATCAGGCAATGCATGAGAACAGCATGTGCTATGCCTCATGAAGGAAACTTACAGTCTAGCTGGGAAGACAGATATTAATCAAGTGTGTTGAGTGTTATGAAGAAGAAAGTCAGGGTCCAGTGGAGCATATACCTGGAAGACTTAACCTAGTCTAGGGGTTCAAGGAAGGCTTCCCTGTGGAAGTGATAAGAAAGGATTATGCAAGTAGTTAAAAAAGAATGAATTATCAGCATTTGCAGTGACCCGGATGAGACTGGAGACTATTATTCTAAGTGAAGTAACTCAGGTATGGATAACAAAACAGCATATATTCTCACTGATATGTGGGAGCTAAGCTATGAGGATGTGAAGGCATAAGAATGATACAATGGACTTTGGAGGTTTGGGGGAGGAAAGGGAGAGGGTGAGGGATAAAAGTCTATCAATATAGTGCAGTGTATACTGCTTGGGTGATGGGTACACCAAAATCTCACAAATCACCACTAAAGAACTTACTCATGTAACCAAATGCCTCTTGTATCCCAATAATTGATGGAAAAATAAAATAAAATAATTTAAAAAAGAAAAGATTATGCAAGTAGGGAATGTCCACAATGGATGGGAAGGGGAGGAATTGTGTTCCAGAGAGAGAAACAGAAGATGCAATTTTACTATTTATCCAATTTCAGAATATATTGGTTCTTGGAAATGTGTAGAGAGATTTTCAAATGAGGCACATGGCCACAGTATAGCTGCTTCTTGGAGACCCCTTGTTTTAGCACCATCATGATTTTCTCAAATATATCTGCTAATATCTCTAATGGCAGAATATCCCATTGCAAGCTAAAGTCTTTGATGAAATCATCATATTTTATTTTTATCACTCGTTTATTCATTCATTCAATAAATATGTATTGATTACCTACTATGCCAGGTACTGTTCTGGGAGCTAGGGAATCAATGCTACGTGTGATATGAAAATTATCTGAGCACTGGCCTTAGTATAAAATGGAAGCTGTTAAGAACATGCCTCCAATTGTGTCCTGTTATTTTTGTGTGCTTTGTATACATGGCCAATCCAGGGGAGCACATGGACCCCAATTTCAAGAACCTTAGAGTAAGTCACGGAAAGGGTTATGGTTTGTGAGTTCTCAACCTAGTCCTGCCTGAAAGTGTTTTCTGATCTCAGAAGTTCATTTAGCTTCTCTGGTTTCTGAAAATAAGAGGGCTGAACTAGATGAATTCTGAAGCCATTTCCAGTTCTACACATATATAAATGTGTACACTCACATGGTTGGAAGCAACCCTAAAGCCATCTTGCCAAGTACATTAAGCCCCTAAATCAGTCATTAGTAGAATCTTAAGGAAAGAGCAGCAAGTGTCAGAAACACTTAGGAAGAAAAATGAGAAACTCAGACCAAGAAGGCCCACTGGAGAGTGTTTATTCAGAGACACACAAACATACGGAAGCTTTGCCATGAGGTCACCTCCGCTTATCTCTGCACTGCTGATGGACTATACACATTTGTTGGAATTCTTCTCTCAGAGTCTGTGAGTCAGCCGGAAGCCAAGTCACAAATAGGTCCACAATTAACTCAAGAAGTAGGAGCCTTTGCTTTCTTATCTTCCTACCACCCTCATTTTTCTGGTGATGTGAAAGTGAAAATTCTTTGGAGCTCAGAAAGAGGTTCTGCAAAGGGCAGAATGCACAAATGTAAAGCAATCTTTTTTTTTTTTTTTTTTACGACAAGACAGAAGATATGACATTTGTGGGAACTACCACATTTAGAAGAGGCAGCACTTCTCCAGGATTCACCTCCAAATTTTTTCGAATGCTTCCTGTGGAAGAGTCTTGTCAAGGATGGTCTTATTTTTTTAATTATGAATTATTTTCTCACTGGTTATTGCCAAACTAAAAATCTTGGGAATTTCATTTTGGCCTTTTACTGTGGGGCACTCATTGCCAGAGGAGAACATTTCAGACAAACCACATTTAATAATGTGTGTTCCAACCTTCCAAATTTCTGGTGTGCCAGCTCTGTTGGACGCTACTAGGCTTTGGGAAATGTCTTTGCCTTCACTGGGAATGGCTTCAGGAGGGCTCCCTGAGAACTCTTTGCTGAAGCCCTGCAGGATTGTAAAATGATGCTTCCCCGCATCTCATGCGTACATGTAAGAGTAAAGTAAAAATCAACCTCATATTCAGCCTTATGGGAAAAGAAGTGAAATACGTACCAGGGAAAGGTGAACCAGGGTTTTCAGTGGAGGGGGGCAGGGCTTCCCACCTTCACTTAGGAATGCTATTCGTTGACATTTATTGCTTCCTTACCCATTGACACACATTGTTCCAAGTACCTTGAATGCATCAACACATTTAATCTTCATAGTAACTCATAAGGCCAGTGCTTTTGTTCTTTTCAGTAGGTAAATGAGGGAACTCAGACACAGAAACGGGAAGTGACATTCTAAGGAAATGTAGCCAGGAAGGGGCAAAGCTGGAATTCAAACCCAGGCAGGCTAGGTCCAGCTCAGGCTTTTACCCTCTGAGCTACACAACCCCTTCAGGAGCAGGAGGAACCAGGGCTGAGGGACCAGCTCATGACCATCCAGGTTTCCTGAAGCTTGGTGGGCTAGGGAGACCTTAGTTCTTCCTTTCTGCACCTCTGGTCAGCTGAACAAGGGAATGTGCAAAGCACTATCAACTAGTAAAGATTTCAAGAATTCTTAATTTGCAAGAAGCTGGCCAGGAAAATGTGAGAGTTGTTTCCTATGTCTGTTTTGTTTTCCCTGTTCCAAACCCCAGCTCTTCTAATTTCTCCATGTGGTCACAAACATTAGTCTAATCAAACATATTTAAGGACATCTATAATACCTAAGTAGATGTACACACACACACACACACACACACACACACACACACGGCAAAAGAGAAATTCAAAGTGTATTCAATAGTTTCAAAAGTAGTCATTTACCCTATTTTAATAGAATTGGCTTCAGAATTGAAAAGAAACTTAAAATTCCTTTTGTACAATAGGTCTCAACTAGTGGCAATAGCTCCCCCCAAAGGGTTCTCTCGAGGGCTCTGGGTTTTTACAATGGCTGAGGGTGGAGTATGGTGCTACTCATATTTAGGGAGGCCAGGACTAATATATATAATGCAACGTGAGGGACAGTCCCTCACAACAGCAACTTTTTCAGCCTCAATTGCTAGTTGTACTCCCTTAATAAACACCAACTGAGGTTCAACACTTTTATTTTACAGTTGAGAAAATTAGTCATAGAAAGATAAAGAATCTTTCTTAAGGTCTCTTAGCTAGTTAATAGCACAGCCTGAAGCTGAATCTAGTTTTATACATCTCTAGGAAAGAACTGTGTTGTTGTTGTTGCTGTTGTTTTTTCCTAGAGAAGGCTCTGTGGACCAGAAAGTCCACAGAGGTCAAAACTATTTACATAATAACACCAGGACATTATTTGTTTGTATCAATATCATTCTCTCACTGAGTGTACAACAGTTTTCCAGAAGCCACATAATATGTGATTATATTGTTTAATGAAATATGTCAACATTTAGAAGGTCTGATGACAAATAGTCTCCAAATAACAAATATATCATGTTACAGAATTATACTTGGGTAAAAGATCCATTAAAAGTACAAGACAAATGGCTTTTAATATAACTAAATACAAAGAGTTTACTAAAAGATTTAAGATTTTCCCTTGTAAGTAACATTGAAGAAACTACCATTCATTACGTTTTGGCGTAGTGTCGAAGAATAGGCAAAAGATCTGAACAGACGATTAAAATATGTTTTCCTTTTTCAACTACAAATTTGTGTGAAGCCAAGTGTTTTTCACATACCTCAACCAAAATGACATATTACAATGGATTGAATGCAAAGCAGATAGGGGAATCCAGGTGTCTTTTTTTTTTTTTTTTTTTTTTTTTGTGATAGAGTCTCGCTCTGTCGCACAGGTTGGAGTGCAGTGGCATGATCTCAGCTCACTGCAACATTCGCCTCCTGGGTTCAAGCAATTCTCCTGCCTCAGTCTCCCGAGTAACTGGGCCTACAAGCATGCACCACCATGCCTGGCTAATTTTTTGTATTTTTAGTAGAGACAAGGTTTCACCATGCTGGCCAGGCTGGTCTCAAACTCCTGACCTCATGATCTGCTCACCTCAGCCTCCCAAGGTGCTGGGATTACAGGCATGAGCCACGGCGCCTGGCCCCCAGATGTTTTATATTAAGTCAGACACTGATGAGATTTACAAAAATGTAAAGCAATGCCAGTCTTCTCATGAAACTAATTTTGTTTTGAAAAACATATTTATTTTTCACAAAACTGTTATTTATATTAATGTCCGATGAGTTTGTTAGTTTTAGAATGAATTAATACATATATATTTTAATTTTCAGTTTTAATTCCTAATACGGTAAATATCAATAGATACAACCCACATAAACACAAGCCCTTTGGAGTCAGTGATTTTTAAGGGGATAAAGAGCTTCTGAGAATAAAACATTTGGGAACTGCTGCTCTATATCATACCCATTTGACTAAATCTCATTCTCCTGGGTGAGACCAGGGAATCTGTTTTTTAACTTATTCTTCAGAAAATTCTGATGCACAAACTAGCTTGAAAACCATTGAAACAGAGTGCATCTTTGTTCAAGAAAGTCCCATTCTAATGTTGGGCTATAGGAACAATGCTAGGATCAAGGGCAGTTCTTTGAGAACTTCAAGGATGCTGTTGGCTCTGTGTCAACAGGAAACAGAGATACATCCCCCCAGAATGAGGAAAGAAAAAAGCACCCAACCCAACTTTTGATCAGTCTTAACCAAGAAAGGTAGCTGCACATCAAATGGAAGGCTGAGCCAAAAAGGAACAGTTCCAATTATGGGCATTATTGACAGGACTATGGGCTTTGTGGGAAAGGCCATAGTCTCAGTCAAGAGGAATGTGATTCTCCCAGTATTTGTACTAACCTCAAGGCCAGAGAGGATAAAGAGATAGCTTTGGAACCAAATTTGACTCAGAAATGTGCATTATTTATACTTCCAAGAATATAAACAGTTTCTATAACCAGATGGAAAAATTCAAAAACTTTTAAGTTCCATATTTCCAATTTATCTTAAAAATTGGAATATCTGGCACACACAGGTCTAAACTCCATTATGGTAACAATTGTCTGGAACTGCATAGCTGCTGCTCCCAACAGCTGAGTCCTGAGCTGTCCAATGGTCCCTGGGCGATTTTCCTTTTTTATGTTACTTGCTTGGCCCTGGGGTTGCCATTCTGTTCTAGGGAGCTCAGAGAGAATCCTGGGATCTTTGGATTGTCTGAGAAGAAGACAGGAACTAGGGCTGTTCTGGTGGACAGCAAGATGGCCATACAGGATGAGATGACAGAATAGTCTGTAATCTGGCATTGCAACTTCAGGTTGGTTTAATTTGCCTGGAGCACAAGAGTTACAGGCAAACATTCCAATCTTCCTATTACTGATTTTAAGTTGTCACATCAGTAATAGCACTAGTAATAGCTCTAAAGGATTCAAATTAGCTGTAGGTGGTTGATTAACTGCATCTTTTTGGTGAATATCAGAGTAACCAGTATTTGCCACTGTGTCTTTTTCTGTATCAGTTGTGTACCCATGAAAAGAGCAGAACTAACAAATCTCATAATAACCCCCATATGGAAATCTCTCGTTCTGGTGCTGAATTTTCGTGTTTGGTCTTTGTTTGTCAAGCCAGTTAAGGAAAGTCACTTCCTCAAGTGACAGCTGTGGATCCAAAAACATCTACCAAAGATAAGCAGTTGTCATGGCAAAGAAACAACAAACCTAAAGGTGATAGATCATGGGACTCGGTTACTGTACTTGCCGTGTAAATCCGCACTGCCTTCACCCTTTACTGAACTCCACACGCAGCTTTTCAACACCATGCCCTGGCATGCATCAAAAGCACTTTGCTTCTCACTTTGCAACTCCTCAAGCTAATAACACTCTGCTGCATCATGTGGATCTCAACTTATTCAATCATATTTCTTGGCAGCATTTATTTATTAAAATCTGGCTTTTGTTCAAGTATATTCCTGAAAGTTCAGAACATGCAGAATATTGTCTAATAGAATCTGAAATTTTTTCTTTGTTATTTATTTTCTGCCTCATTGAAACAAAAAAAAGAGCATTGAGGTAAATGTTAGAAAAAAATTCACTGAAAACATCTTCATTACGAAAGGTTGAGTCTTAATAGTAGAAATTGAGACACCTAGATCTTGTGGACAATCCTTTTGCTGACTGATAAAATGACTTCAGTTAAGTTACTTAATTTTTCTGTGATTCCTCTGCTCAAAGTGCAAGAATTCCAAATATAGCTTTAAAATACACTAGTAAACCAAAAGAACTGAAAGGGGCCTTTAACTCTAGTTTAAATACATCATTTAGCCACCTTGGGGCACCAAGTTTTAAAAACCTGTCATGATTTGACTTAAGAAAAATTGTTATCCCATTAAGGAATATTTGCCATGCCTAAAAGTATTCTTCAAAACTTGATTTTAGTCAACACACTCATTTCTGGCTGAATCTTAATTTACTTAGCCAAGTTCTGATAGTTGGGATTTATGGGAGGGAAGGAGGAATGTCTGTCCTTCACTTCAGGTACAGGAAGAGTTGTTCAAATGGTACCCTTGGGATAACTTGATAGGTGTTTCTACATTTGGGGGTGGGGGACAGGGAGGACTCAAGTCTGAGCCCACCCAGAAATCTGAAGTCAAGAGAGAGCCTGGCAGCCTGGTCTGTGGAGGAGCCGAGAAGCTATTGTTGAGAAGGGGCTAACTTGCACCCTTAGGGTTCATCAAGGCAAGGAAGACAGGGGTATTTCTTATAGACCCCGCACAGGCAGTGCACAGAAGAGAGACAATCCATTTGGAGGAGTCTTACAATTTATCTGTGAGAGTTTTTAAAGATATCTGAAAATTCATCAGGACACCTCCCATCAGGAGGTGGAGTCTAATTCTCCTCCCCTTGATTATAAGCTGGTCTTGTGACTCACTCCTACCATATGGGGTGAGGAGAAAGTATCACCGCATGCCTCTCAAGGTTAGGTCATAAAAGGCAATACCTCTCTCTCTCTCTCTCTCTCTCTCTCTCTCTCTCTCTCTCTCCCCTGAACAGAAAGTCTGGTTACCCTGAGGTAGACATGTAGAAAGACAGCATGGAGGGAACAGACAGAGAGACCTAAGAAGCCCCAACCCAGGTGCCTTCAAAATGATGACATCCCTGTTACCATCAGATGATATGAGATCTCAAGGGAGAATCTTCTCCTTAAGCCCATCTGAATCAACCCTCAGATTCATGAGCAAAATAAATGATTGTTATTGTCTAAAGCACTGTTTGGATGTGGTTTGTTACACAGTGATAGATAATGATATCGTGGCACCATCCGATAAGACTGCCTGGAGGCATAAGGGGACATTAGCACAGAGGAGCCTGGCTGGTCTGCAGGTTCTCTGGACTTTGAAGGAATAAGCACCCAGCCCTCAAGGCACAGGAACTGCAGATTGAGAGGTTTTCCAAGAACTCTCCCAAGAGAAAGGAAGGCTTTAAGCTTCTTCCAGGCTCAGATGATGTAAACTTGGTCTAGGATAGTCCAAGGAAGAGACAGAAATAGAAAACACTTTCCTTTCCCTCTACCTTTTCTCTTTCCCTTGGCAGTTTCATTAGGCCAGGCCAAAAATGACGGTTATTTTGCCAACAAAACCTTGTAATAATTTTGAGATGGAGAAACCACTTCTAAGTATGATGCACGTAAGTGAAGAAGCCACAAAGGAAAAGACTGACAGATTTGACCAAATAAAAATGTAAACTTTTTTAACAACAAAATGTAACATTTTTAAAAAGTTAAAAGAGCAACAAACTGGGAAAACTATTCATAGACTATAACAAAAGATTAATTGCATATAATATACAGAATTCCAATAAATTAACTAGAAAAATGTGAACACTGGGTAAAAGGAAAGGCTTACTTACGGAATAAAGAAAACTGGTCAGGAAATACGTCAAAATATGTTCAAACTCACCAATCATTAAAGAAATAAATTTTAATTTTAAGTCAATTTAAATCATTAAAGAAATAAATGTATAACAAGGAATTATTGTACTTAGCATCTGTAGTAATTTTCTAGGCCTGCTGTAACAATGTATCACAAATTGGTCTACACAACAGAAATTTATTCATCTCTCAGTTTCAGAAGCTAGAAGTCCAAGATCAAGGTGTAGCCTGGGTTGGTTCCTTCTAATAGTCGTGAGGGGGAATCTGTTCTATGCTTTGCCCATAGTTTCTGGTGATTTACTGGCAATCTCTGGTGTTCTTTGACTTGTAGGAGCATCACTGCAATCCTTACCTTCATGTTCAATGGCATTCTCCCTGTGTTATGACTGTCTCTGTGTCCAAATTTGCCCTTCCTATACGGACAACAGTCATATTGAGTTACAGTCTACCCTAAGGATGTCATTTTAACTTGATTACCTCTATGAAGATCCTATTCCTAAGGTATGTGGGGTTAGGGCTTCAACATATCTTTCTGGGGGACACAATTCAATCCATAATGGGGTCCATTGAGAAAAGCAATAGTATTGAATATTGGAAACTATAGAAATAACCCTCTTATACACAGCTGATGGATTATAATTTGATGTAAAGTTTTGGAGAGTCGTTTTTGGTAGTATCTCTCAGAATCGTGTATTTTAAATGTGCATAGCCTTTTCTCCAGGAATTTCACTTTTAGTGAATATAGCAAAATCTAAAATAGGTGAAGTCCACATAAAAAAAGAGAATCTTTGAGGGTAGGGTTTTCAGGACTTGGTGTTGGAGAGACTCCCGGGAAAGGTAGTGAAAAGGTCGGTTAGTTCAGTTGGGAATCTTCTGAAGTTCTGGGGAAACATGCCTCTTCCCCAGTGGGAGTCGAGGAGGAAAGAAAAACCTCTCAGGTTCACGTGGTATCTCCTCACTAAGAGTTGGGAGTTTCCAGTTAGTTGACAGATAGATTTCATAAGAGTGGGAGGGGAAAATCCTGCAAAGACACAGCTAGCCAGGACCCTGGCAGAATCTTTGGGGCATGAGATCAGCCAGCAGTGTCAGCCTGATTCCTCCTTGGGCTGTGGGCTTAGCATCCTGGTCTCATACCCAACACCTTCTAGGCTCCCAGCCTTTAGAGAAATGTCTGGGCAATTCTGATGATGAGCCGAGAGGACTCAGAGACCAAATGAGTGCCCCAGGGTCTCTATAGGGTTATCCAACCTGTGCATGTGACTCTGCTCTGTCCTTGTCATCACTCCATGCCTATCTCTGCAGAATGCTCAGTGAGCTCTTAACCTATGGAACCCATATACTGAGAAAGGTCAGGAAAAGGAAGCACCTGTATTGAAGGGAGAAAACTCTCAAAGATGTAGTAGTGAAGAACAGCTCCAAAGAGGGAAGGAAAGCAAGAGACAGGAAGGAGCCCCAGGGGAGTGATGGAAGGATGGTAGGCAGCCTGGATCCTGAGGTATGAGGTCCATTCAGTGTCGTCTTGCTAAAGCTTGGGGGTTTCCAGTTTGTTGACAGATTTTGTAGGAAAATGGATATGAAAGTTCACTACTTTCGTGGTTTTACGTAGAAGGCAGCGTGGCAGAGCAGGAAAGGGCTTGGCTACTGGAAGTGAGCTGCTTGGGTTCGCAATCCCAGTTCTGCTTCTGGCTCGTTGAATGACCTCTAAGAGTATGCCTCCTTCACTGTGACTCAGTTTCTTCACGTATAAAACTGGGAATGATGATTCTGGGGTGTTACTACTGTTTCTGGCATTGGCAGACATGGTCAAGTGGATTTCCACTTCAAATCTCAGTGATGAATCTTACTAGAATAATTTGTTTAGTGTAAACAAACTAATGCTTTGTGATTAGTCATCTTCTGAATAGCCCTTCTAGGCATGGAAAGGCAAACTACTTCATCTTTCTGTGGCTCTTTCCACTCATGTAATCTTCTGAGCAATACCTGATTTAAGCCGGATTTAGCAGATAAAAACATCCAACAAAATTTGAATTTCAGGTAGTCAACAAACGTTATTTAGTATAAGTATGTTCTGTGCAATATTTAAGACAGACATACTAAACAAACTACTCATGGTTTGATCTTAGATTCATATTTAATTGGGCATCCTGTATTTCATCTGGCAACCTGATATCTGACCCCAAACTGCACAAAGCAGGTGAGCCTGGTCCTGGGGAGCTAGAATGTAGGTGTAATTCCACGGCGTACACCTCTTTCCGGCGTAGTCTGCAACTGTGCTTTTGCAGGGTCTCTTTAAAAGCAAGAACAACAACAACAACAACAAAGAATAAAACACACGATATTTGCAGCAAAAGATGTAACAGGATCTGGTCTCATGTAAATATTATGTTAATTAAAACAGATGGGTCTGGAGCATAAACAAAATAGCTGCAGGGGGCTGGTTTTTGTTCTTGCTGGGTTTCTTAATATAGTAACTCCGTTCCCATCCTGTTAGCACTCTTTCCTTATCAAACATTGAACTGGGGTATAAGGAAGTTTAAATTACCAGTGATTGGAGATTCACTTTCTAAACACTTGAAACAGATGGCTTATTGCCTGAAAAGCATGTTGAGCTTGGTTATTTCAGGAAAATGTTTTATTGCAGCTCATTTATTAACGTCAGGTTTGCCATGTGATGAACACTTTCCCTTCAGCTCTGTTCCTTGCATCGAGTTTGGCTACTGGGCAGAGAAAGGTTTCATTTTTAATGTTGTCTTCCTGCTTCTTGGACATGGCATTAAGCAACAGCCTAGTTACTCCTGTACAGCTTCTCACAGCTTCAGAAAAAGAGCAATAACCTTGCAGAAGATTTTTACAAATGAATGCCATTTGAGAGTATACAATGGATGAAGTTGGACTCTACCAGCTGTGGCAGCAGTGAACTTAACAAAAAGATAATGTGCTTTTGGCCAGTTTTTGAGTTGTCTAGGACCCAATTCAGGACCACATACTGCACTTAGTTGTCAGGCTTCTGTAGTCTGTTTTAATCTATAACAGTTTCTCAAACTGTCTTTGCCTTTCATTGACTTTTTAAGAGTGCAGAATCTTCTTAAAATAGGTTCACCTGATGTTTCCTCATAATTAGTAAGGTTATGGTACGCATTTTAGGCAGAGATACTAATAAAGAGTTAGAACTAAATTTTCTAAAACCATTCTCATGCTGTGCAAGGAAGTGGGCTCAGTGATTTGTGTGTGAAAACTTTCTAGCAAATCTTGAGTTGACAGTGTAATTCACACCTCCCATCAATCTTAATTTGAACTGAGTGCCTAAATTTTTAATAAGATTCTCAGAATCACATTGAAGGGTAAAAATGTATTGCGGTGTCCATGTATTTCTGGGCTTTCTTTCTTGGAACGAGATGAGCTACTTTAGATCTGTGTGAATGGTCTGAGGAAGGTTAAGAGAGGGCAGGAACTGTTTCTTGTAAACTGACAGTTCAGGAGAGTGAGTCGGAGATAATCACATAATCCATTTATAACCACCCAAGTTAACAAGCTCTCACCTTCTCCAAATAGGCCCCTTATTTACAAATAGTCACTTCTATATGAAAGTGGGTTCTCATTCATGTGACTAGAGTCACACACAGCGATCTCGTGGCATGATTTCCCCACACCACAAAGCTCAGTTCACATCAGGAGTACTATTAGAACCTGTAACATACTGCAAATGTGTAATGCGAGCTTTGAAAATAATTTTTTGTCTTACTTTGTAAACAAACTACCCCCCAAATAACTTGAGGCTGTGTGTCTGCCCAGTGCAATTCCAGGCTGTATCAGTAGGAAAGAAATCCCAGAACAAGGCGGCTGGTCCAGCATAGCTGTGCTCAGGTCAAACCAATTGCAGAGATGGGTTCCAGACCCCACATTGTGACAGACTTTCATAAATGGGCTTATTTAAAGAAGAAAATGAATAGGTTGCTAAAGAATTCAAAATCAAGTTACAGGACTGGCTTTTCAGGCCTGTTTAGTCCAGTCCTGGGCTCAGCGCCATCTTGGGCTGTCAGCTCCCTTTCCTCCATGGGAGAGCCCTGTCTCACCTTATCAGTGCTCATCCAGGGCTGAGGGCTTGCTTCCCTCCAACACACTTGCCAGATTCAGACTGCCAGCTGAGACACTGGAGGCTTCCCCTCAAAAATGAGATGCAGGATGATTTTCTGATGGAAGAGATTTTATTCTACCTGGGGCTGTCCCTCTGCCCTTCAAATTCCACATTCTGCCATAAGAATGAATTTCCTTCTTGAACAAGCAGCAAAGTTTCTCTGTTGGCCAGGACTGTTACCTCTAATCTGCCTCCTTTGGTGTTCGAAGAAGAAATATTTCCCAGCTACTGACAAAAGGGAACCAACTGTATTTTCTATGAATGCCTGTGGCATTAATGGGAATTACACAAAGTCATATAAAGTGGGAGAACCATGGAGCCACAAAATCCCACTCTCTACTGAGGTCAGTTACAAGCCCAAAACAACATATGCTTTCTTCAGACCATTCTCTATTAATATAGCAATTAGTTTTGTTCCCTCTGGACATGTTATCAAATAGAAACAGGAAAAAGTGGGGTGTGTGCAAAACTAAATATCTCACCTCAAGGAAAAATAAGCTGCAAATAATTATCACCAAAATAATTTTTTTTTATTTTACTTAAAAAGACTCTGAATGTACACATTTGGTTCATGAACACAGGGTAAAATATTTATTTCCATCTTCATTTTAGTCTAGTGATAACTATACAAATCTGGACATGGATAATGAACAGGTTTTACCTGAGAACATGACCGTGCACCAGCTGATTCGGTGTGTCTGTGGCGTTCACTGATTTCCAATGTCCACGAATGCTCAGTAGACAGGTGCTGGCACATTGGCCGCCCTATCACTACCAAGCCAGGTGCTCACAAAACCAGTGCTCGTGTGTGATAAAAACATGCTGATCACAACAAACAGTTATTCCATGATGGGTTTTTAACTTATGAAAAATGTTCCACATGCAGAAACACCCCTGCATACTTCTTTTGCATAGTCACATCTACCTTCCATTTAACATATGAAATCAACTATTCTTGTTTGGGGGCAAGAAAATGCACAGAGTCATACCAGCATTTCCTCTTGCACCATATGTGAGCTTGCAGAACTGCAGAGGGTTAAGAATGACCCACAGTACTCTGAAAAGATCTACAGTCCTTAAAAAGGACAACACCCCTTCTGTGTTCTAGACAAGTTATAAAGGTTTTGCCGGAACACTGCTGGGCTTCATAATCTGTTGATGAATCAAGTAAGAAGAATACATAAAATTCTCTTACATGAGAATATCTTTTACTTGAAGACTGTAAATCATAACAAATACTGAAACATTCAGTAACAGTTCTGGAAAAAAAAAGTTTTTGTCATTAATTCCCCAGACCAAAATTTACACATCAGGAAAGAATTGGGCACTTTGGGGCTGACTCTTTTGGAAACCACTAAGCTAACATCTTTAACATTTACAAAGTAATTGGTTCAATTACAAATGAATTTGACCAATCACATCTCTGAATTTCTGGGTCAGTGAAGGCAATAGGTAAATTCCAGAGGAGAAGTACCAGCTTTGCGGGATGAAAAGATTCATTTAAATAGCGTCTCCATTTACTGAATAGCAATCACATTCTCTCACAGCCTGACAATATTTGCCTTTCATGATAAACTGACAACATCACTTTATGAAACTGCATGACAATGTATTTGTTAAATATTTCCTGGAACATCTACACTTCAGTTAAAACTGTACTATTTACAAATCAGAAAATATACTACAAAGCATGCTTGGAGGCACAGCACGCCTACAAGACACAAAAATACAAAATTATGGCAAGCTGTGGAAGATTCCTTAAACCAATAGAACATTCTGATGCAAAAAGAGAGAGATGGAAATACAGGCCATATATTATATGTGAGCCATATTCTGAAGCCCAGAAGACTCTTTATCCAAAAGGGAATCACAGACATAAAAATAAAATATTTGGTATTCTACAATATTTTACAAAAATAAATATATCAATCAATAAATAGTGGGAAGCCTAGAAACTCTTACATGAATATTTTGGCTGTGGGCTGCCCAAGTCCCTCTGCTGTAATTCTCCTCAAGAGTTGTTTAGCTATATCAACTTCGGTGATGATAATTCTGCCATAAAAGGGAAAAAAAAACTAGCATGGGACCTAGCAGAAGGTCTATGACCAGAGAAACATTACTGAGATTCTACCTTTTGAAGGATCTGACAATGTTCTGACTTCCTGTCAATGCAGGAGTTGGAGATGACGCCAGTGTGCTGCCAGGCATCCGGTAGGAGTTGGGAGAACTCTACGGGCTGTGTGTTTTCACTTTCTCATAAAAAGAAAGCCAAAAAAATACAACTAGCAACATTTGAAAAGCCAGTATGTTGCTCTCTGCACTCCCTTTCCACAGCGAAGCAGAAAAATCGTAGAAATGCAGGTTTACATCCGGACAGCCAAAAAGAGAAACTGGGCTATGCAGCCTAATTGCCAACAGCCTATATTTTCATATCTCTTTAACAGAAGAGTGACTATAAGTGCTCGAGACAAGATTTCTCCAGAAGCCCAGAGCCAGCAGTGCACACAGTGGAAAGCAGGGCTGGCACATCCTTAACATTCTAGTATCAGGGTGCTAATGTCAGCAGTGTGCTAATGTCAGCGGAATACTAAATGTCAGCGGTGTGCCAGTGCCAGTGCACAGCTCCCAAGAGCTGACTTAGGTTTTAGACGTTTTGCAAGCCAGTTGACGTCACCTTGGTAGCTCAAGATAGACCATGTAGGAGCATTTACAGCATTGAAATCCACAAATCAGGGCTTTTTCTCCCCCTGGATTGCTGGTTGTAAGGGATTTACCAGCACACCACTGTCATATGTATTAGACATAAAGAAAATTTTGCTTAATTTTTATCTAACCAGGACTATCCTAGTCAGCTGAGGTTTTACTGTATATCTATTACTGTGTCCTTTAGAAAGGATAAGAAGTACCTTGGAGTATGTGAGTATATATTGTGTACCATGGAGTATGAAGGATGTACCATGTTCCACTGAGGGTGTTAAGTGTGGTTGTTCAAAGCCAACTATACATCACACACATACACATATCATGTTATATGGAGGCTGTTCCACAAATAGTGATTCTGAGTTGCGTGGCTTTCTCAAAATATCAATCACCGTATACCCACTGATGGTCAAAATACCACTCTTCCAGGAGCAATGAATTCCCCAGGATTCACCCAGCGGACAATAGATCTAGCGAGCTGAGGTTCAAATTGGGCAAAAGTTCTTCAAAATGGTTTTCCTTGCCTCTGTTGTCTAGCGCAGTTTGAGTTTATAATCTTAAGAGATTCGTAAAAGGCAGCTGATTGTTTTCCAGGGTAAAAAAAAGAAAAAAGTGTCAGACCTCTTAAAAAGCATTCCTTAAGATAAGTAGCAGTGAATGGGGGACGATGTACTGGAAACCACATTCCTGGTTCTAACAGGAACCGTCCATGTTCCCTGCCTGGAGATGCTGGAACAGTGTGGAAACTGCTCTGCTCTGGTTCCTCCTGCACAAAATCCAGGATATGCTTGCCAGGTAGAGGGAAATGGTAGGGGTTAAGACTGGAGCCTGCCACCGGCCAGGAAAACCCACGGGACCCTTACTGTGCAGAACACTTCCCCACCACTTTCAGTCCTGGCCAGTTACAAAATGGGAAGATGGTAAGATGAGAAGATGAGAAAGTTACTGAGTTTCTACCATGAAGCAAACATAATTTCCAAATTCAGGCTTGGCTTTTGAGTCATTTGGTTGTGTCTATCCATAAATTCGTTTATTGAAATCCGTTCATTTGGACTCTGATTTTCTTTTTCTTATACTTACTTATTCTGGTTTTCTTTTTTTCTTATACCTAAGTATTCAACATTTGATAAAGGATATTATTAAAATAAAATCAAATTAAATATCAGGGCAAGATTTAGAAATTAGAACACTAACTCCTTTCACCCTGAGAGCAAAGGCACTTAGGTGTCCCTTTCCAGTTCACAGCATGCGTCATGAAGGCCAGGGAAGAGCAGGGACACAGGGATGGGCGGAAGGCATGAGGCACTAGAGCAAAGAAGAAAGAGGGAAGAAAGAAGATGGAGCAGAGGAAAGCAGGGGTGTGGAGACAAGGGAACAGCATTAATAGGTGAAGAAAGATATTAACATCCTTTCTTCTAACAGACAGATCCCTTCTGATTTTCCTCCTGTTAGTCTTTGATACTTCTATTTTGTCCAAAAGATTTAATTCTTTAAATAGAATCGCTTATGATTTTACAGACACATCTGAGGATAGCCTCTGAGGATAGCAGGAATATCCTCTTCCCTTTCTCCCTTTCTCCCCTTCAAGTGCTCTCTCGACCCCTCTACTCTCTGCAGCAGCAACAGCCAGTACTCATGGCCTTGCTTTCCTATTGTCTCAGGAACAGATTTCATGCTGGTTTCTTCTGTTTTCCTGCCTTGACCAGGAGCTGCCCTCTGGAGCACACTGGTCCCCAACGGGTTCAGTTTTTCTTGTTGTACCTCTAAGACCTCTTGAGTCCATTTGGTTTCTGTATCAATTAACCCTTCCTTTCAAGCATCCTTTGCCAGGCCCCGCCTCTCTGAGCAACCACAGAAACTCAACTGACAAAAGCTACACTTACATTTCCAGAGTATTTAGGAATTGTAATACTTCCTAGGATGATTAAAACCCTGATGCAAATTATCTTGACTTAAATCTTACTCAGAGAAGAGGTAACAGAGAACATACCATTGGCCTTTAATATGCACACTTTTGAGTGAATCATGCATGTAGATGAGTATAATCTGCCTGCATAGAACCAAAAGATTTCTGTAAGTTCATGTATGTACAAATATACATACACAAGTATGTGTCTTTTGACACTGTATTTTGCCTAGGAGTTGTTTTCAAATCAACGTGGAGGTGGCATTGCCAGGAAATGGCAAGTCCAAAGAGAAAACAGATTGAAAGGGACTTAACTGGAGAGGAAAATATGCATTTCCTACAACAAACCGACCTGTCCCATTTCCTGAAGGCAGCAAGCCTCTATTACTGTACACCCTTATTAAATAATCTCATTAAATAGGAACACCAAATATACACATTTACAGTTATTAAATAAGCCCACAGGACTCTTCTTCTATCTACAGCCACATTCGGAGACGGCCATGCCTTCGTATTTAAACTTGTAGGTGACGACGCCTTTGTCTAAATAGAGGATGGAGATGGGCTCTAGCTTTGTGGGCACACAGCAGGCTTTGGAAGCTTTCTGGGAATTCTTGAGGTGGACCAAGGCCTGGATAATTGCATGCTTTGTGGGTGTGAGATGTTCTGCCAGGGGATAGTTACAAACACCACGACATTCATAGGCTTCGTATCCAGGCGGAGCGATGATCCAGGAGTCCCACCCAATCTCCTTGAAGTCGATGTAGAGCGGGGTCCTCTTACAGTAGTTTCCTTTGGCATTCCTTCTGATTCGGGCAGTGGAGTCGTAGATGATGTTTGATCTCATCTGCAACAAAGCCTCTTCCCCAGGTCCACCAGAAAAGCCATCCAGGCCCAAGTTGTCTAGCTCCGGAAGTTGCTCATGGGAAATCATTTCATTTAGTTCCTCCTTCCTCTCCTTGTCACTGCTTTGGTCATCAGAAAACACTATGAGCAAAGGGTTATGCTTATTCTGGGCACTGGTGTCTATTTCCAGTCGTCCACTGCTGGCATCCTCAGCTTCATCGTGTTTGCTCTCAATGTGAACCTCCAGCTGGTGGGTGGATGAGCCTGACTTTTGCCAATGTCTGATGGCATCTGTGACATCAAAAGTCTCCCACTCACTGTTGGTTCCATAGATCTCCCCTGACACCAAGACCAGCATGTTTCTTTCTCCCTCATTATCCCCTTTGCTCTCCAGCACTTCAAAAATGGTAATTTTCCGGTCTACTCCATCGTATATCATACGATCCCTTTGCACCAGTGTGTACAGCCTAAGTTCAGCCATGATGACCTCTTCATGGTGAGGAATGGACACATTGAAGAGGAGGGGGTATTTTCGGAGTCCGTTAAAACTGACTGGCTGGGAAAACAGATCTGAAAAAAGAAATTTGCAAAAATCAGGTTTGCAGTGGGTCTCAGGGAAAAACAGATGCTTATTTATGTAATAAGAAGGCCTTCCCATGCATAAAGCCTAATGCAGAAAGAATGAAGGGAGAAGATCAATGAGGACAAACACAATGTCAGCATTCTGTGACACAGGAAATCCCGAAAGGTCAGCGGTAGAATGCCCAAAAGAGTTCAGTTGCCAAGACTAAAATGGAAAATGGGGGTCTAATGGATGGGATAAAACTCAGCCAGCCTTGCTTGAATAGCTCATCAGACACAGAATTACAGAACTGGGAGGGAACTTGGAGATTATGTGGGCAAGTCCCCAAATTTCCTGACCAACAAAGAGCCATCAAATGGGACATGTGATTATTCTTTTCTTGAAGCTTTTCAGGGATGAGGACTTCATGGTTTTTTAATATTTGTGTTTGTAGTGGGTGGAGATCCCCACACAGTTGGCTGGGCACTGTTCTTCCTAAAAGACCTCCATTTAGATCAGAGGTTGGTAAATTATAGCCTATGGGCCAAAATGGGCCTGCTACCTGCTTTGGGAAATAAAGTTTTATTGGAACACAGCCTCATCCATTGTTTTTGTATTGTCTGTGGCTGCTTTTGCACTATAATGGCAGAGTTAAATAGACGCAACAGAGAATATACAGCCTGCAAAGCTTAAAATCGTTATTATCTGTCTGGACCTTTACAGAAGAAACTTGCTGACTTCTGTTCTAGGCAACAAAGCCTGACAAGGTCAATAAGACAGCCATAAACCAAGAGGGTCACAGCAATTGACTTTTGGTCATATGGTCCTCTATAAAGAGTAATGGGAGAAAGTGAATCCTGGGACTAGATTGGTTGCCTTAGTCTTGTACCCCTAGCACCTAGCATGGAGCATGGCACATATAACTCACTCAGTAATGTTTATGAATCAACTCTGTAAAAGTCCTTTAGTCTTAGAAGGACACCTCCAAATACTATCATATTGACTTCCTATCTGAATATTTTACAGTTAGCCCAAATCTCCTTCACACTTGCCTCAAGTAATGAGTCTACAAGGAAGCCCTGAAGGCATTTGCCATCAGATTATCAAAGGGCTCCATGGCACTGAAGATGCTAAGGACCACCAACTGGGGGTTCTCCCTCATCATTGGCAACATTTCTCCAAGTATATACTTAATTCGTGATCTCAGTGAGTCCCTGTTCCAGATTATAATCTTTTAATATTTTTCTTTAACTTGATTTAATTATTTTACACTTGTTATCTATTTTAGACTTTAGAATGATGTTCCTAAGCAACATCATTCATGAAAGGAGAGATTTGAAGTGATATTTATGTATGTTTGCTAAAAATCCATATTAATAAAATTTACAATTATTTCACATGATTCATAGCTTTCTATGGGAACCATCTAAAATCATCTTACACACTGCCAATGGGAAATGCTGACCTACAGAATGAATTTAAACTCCCTGGCATGGCTTTCAAGACCAGCTATACATGGGTCTTAGCCTCCTGATCAGACATAGCTTCCTTACATCCTCGACAGTGCACGGAACACTGTGATTACTCAATAATATTTGTGAACAATTGAATGGATTTGTAAACCCTTCTGTCTCAACTACATTGATATCTTTACCACCTGCCAAAACACTCTTTTTCCTCCGTAATTTTCACATTTTCACTTGTTCTTCTGACCCTTGGAAAGCCCTTTCACCTCACCTCCACCTATCCAGCTCTGACATCTCCTGTAAAAGGCTCCCTTACTTCTTTATCTGAAAGTTCCCTCCCCTCCCCTCTGAAATCACTTGAGAACTTTACATCTCCTTTGATCTTTGTCATTTACGTCCTTATATTTCAGCCATCTTTTTATGAATGAATTTTCCCAACTAGATTGCCATCCTCCTGGTTTGAATGGCTCAAAACTCCCTTGTATGTCTCTGTCCTACTATGATGGCTTAAACAGAGGTAGCGCTTTAAAAATATTGATTAGTTGATGATTCTAGGCATCAGACTAAATTGATTTATAGGTGTGACATATGACCTTAATCGATCATCAAGCTCCTGGGTTGGGCTTGGGAATTATTCTCCCACTCTTAGAAAGGAGGAGACTTGACTCCCCATGGACAGGGAACATGGAGGAGTAGCCTGGCTGCTCTACCCAGGAGAAAAGTATAAAATAAGAGCTGGCTGTAGTGGGAAGAAGGCATTACAAAGCATAGAAGGAAGCTTTTGGTGTTAATGGAGATATTCATGATCTTCATTGTGGTGATGGTTTCAATGAATGTTACCTATGTCAAAACCTTTCAAATTATACACTTTAAATATATGAAATTATACTTTTATACACCAATATTTTTGTAAGTCAAATATACCTCAATAAGACTGTTTTGAAAAAGTAAGTTCGCTGTGAAGTTCTGTGCATGTGCAAATGCAGTAAGCAATAGACTTAAGAGTTACATTTCAGGGCAAGAGAACTAATGTTTGTTGACAAATTTCTCTTTCCAGATGCTTTGCAACCATGATCTTCTCTGGTTCTCACAATGACCCCATAATGCAGGTATTGATTCTCTGCTCATTTTGCACCAGAAGAAATCAAGCCTCGATGCAGAGAACTGACTTCCCCTGACAAGGTGATAAAGGAGCAGTGCTAGGAATTGAGGGCATGCTTTTTTCACCTTGGAGGTGGCACTTTTTTTCCCAAGATGATGTAGGTTTGGAGTTTTTTTTGGTCTTTGTCTCCTAGGGAGCTGCACTAAGCAGATCCAAAGAGTCAGAAGAGAGGCAATAGTAGCCAACAGGGCGTGCCCTGTGCGATTTCTGTCCTCAGGCTGCACATTTCCTGCAGACGGGCCGAGGTGCTGGCGGCTGGGTTGTTTACTGAGAGATGTGTGTTCCTGCCTTCAATAATCTCCAGTAATAATAAGCACAGTAAACTCCACATCCTGACCTGGATCATCCAGATACTCTATGAGAGAAGTGAGAACGGAAAACATTTCTACTTTTCCGGGGGATGCAAACAACATTTTCTCACCGGCACCCGCAGCCAGACACTTAGGGCTCAGTGCTGAGAAGTATTAGGGAGGGTTCTTACAGGAGGAGGTTGTTCATTTTCAATTCAGACTCCCCTCCGAAAGGAATCTGTAATCTCATCTTGCCATTTCCATGAGAAAGATGTTATGAAATAGAAATTTTGTCAGCCAACTCAATTTTAAAGGCAGATAATATCTTAGAGACTAAGGAATACCTACTCAACATTTATTCCAGCACCTAGAATATTAAGTAACTCATTAGTAATCACTGAAGTTGGATCAGCACTTCATAGTAAATGGAGTGCTTTCTTATCTGTAACCTCTTTTGAGTCACTCAACTATGTTACTAGGTATTATTACCCCCACTTTACAGATGAGGAAATTGAGGCTCTGAGTCATCAGCTAATTATTTACAACCACTACATTACAAGCCAACCAGTCCTTAAAATTCCAAGCCCTGAGCTTTTTCTTCACTATTACCTTTCTTCTTTCGAGAACATCTGGCCAACATTGATGGGAAGCTTCTTTTATACCTGTTTAGTGACTATAAAAACATAATTGGCAAATATTAAATTAGTTCATTTGAACTGTCAGCTTCTACCATGGATATTTAGATATCAGGGGTTTTTTTTTCCTACCAGGACCATATTAAGCAAAAAATAAAAAAATAGAAAATAAATAACTTGCTAGCTCATTAGATTTAGTTACCAAATTTAAAGACTGAGGAGAAGAAAACACACTTTTCCCACCAGTAATTCAAAGCTTGTACGTTGCTCTTTATAAAGACGGAAATGATGAGCTGGATGATTAATGGGCCATCCACACTTCCTGGAAACTGTAAACAGTGCTTTAAGGATGTACATGACACATCAAACAACACAGCCTTAGGAAGAATCTTTAAAATATATTTCCATCCTGTTTGAATAGTTCTTAAATAAGGTCACAAAATAAAAACTTATCAAAAGTTTGAACAAAACACAAATCACAACTTGATGTTTTTTGACTGATTTTACCCTTGGTATTCTAAGTAGACGTTGAGAAATTTTTTAGTTAATTCAAAGCCCAAATGGCAATCAAGGCCTATTTGGAAAATGACAAAGATACAGCAGTAGACCAACATTAATTCTTTGTGTTACTTGCTGTTCAAATTAACATTTTTAACAGGACCCAAAGATGATGTCAAATTGATAGATATTTTGTGACTTTGGATTAAAAGATGTTTGTAAGTATTTATTGAGGTTCTGAAATGACTATATAAATGGTATAGACCAAAATGTGCCTTGTTTTTGTGTATCCGTATGTATTTAACAACCTTGTATAGATGTATTTAGCCTTACCTATATCATTCCCATGCATTGTAAATTTACTTATCATGTCTTGAAAAAAATCCAAGCCAAATTTCATCAGCAAAAACTTACCTTCATTCTTGAAACTCCTAATGATGTTGGCAGAGGGCATGGAGGTCCGATCCGTTGCAAATTTGTTGTAGAGTTCCAACATGTACTCTGGTGGGTCCACCTTGGCTGAATCCTGCGTGGGGATGTCAGAGAGGTTTAGTGTCTTGAGAAACTCATCCTTCATGCTCTGGAGCAGTGTGTTAAAGTCGACACCATCTTGCTCTGAGAAAACATCATCAAAAAGGGGCATATCTTCTTCCAGAGGAGACTGCTCTAGGCTCATGATGGGGCTCCCAGAAACCAAGTGAGCTGCCAGGCAGAAAAGAGCACACAGTGTGAGGACCAGAGAGCCCATGACTCCGCTCGAGCCCCTAGGCCAAGCCAGGAAGGTTTAGCTCTCCTGGGCTCTAAGTGGCAGTTTTATCTTGTGGAGCGTAAATGTCTCCTGTCACTGGAGACAAGTTTGGAAACTCTTCCTCTCTCTCTCCCTCCCCCTACCACTCTTCCTCTCCCCCTAAAAGTCAGGTTGCAGTAATTGGATAACAAAATCCCCTATAGGGGCCTAGCCTTTCTTATCTCTCTAGTGTAAACTTGTGCACCAGAATTTGTTTCTATCTTGCAATCCCTATTTCTTTTAATGAGCATTTTGTAAACATTTCCACATTCTGACACTGGTTGAGAGATAGGACAATTTTCTCTTTGCAAAGGCTCTGCTTCTCTTCCCTTCAATTCACTTCCTTTCAGCAGGAATGCCTCAATTCTGTTTTTATGGGGCTTAGTTTCACACATGCATATAATAGGTATAAGAATCAACATAATGCACATCAGTGGTGATACATAGTAATTTGAGTGGTAGGGCTTACATCCTCAGATAAACACTTCTGAAGACAGACCAAGTATCCAAACTTTCCAAGTTTAAGTTAATAGCTATAAATGGATTATATAAGTTTTTAGAAGTGTACCTTTTTAGAAACAGGAAAGTATAAACTTCATGATTGATAGCCTTTTTTCCTACCTATTTGATCTGGCTAAAATGGCATGTGAAAAAGAGGCAAGTGCTTAGTTATAGCGGCAACTAAAATGTATTAGATGCTTCCTACAAACAGGCATTGTACTGAGTGCTTTACATCTATCATCAGGTGTGCTCCTGTAATAACCCTATCATTATCTCTATCACATATATGGGTCAGTGAAGTTCCATAGCTTGCCAGAGGCCACAAACCTGCAAAGTGATGGAGTCACGATTTGAACCAAGGCAGTCTGATTCTTATGAAGAATAAAACCGTCACACTTTTAAACACAATTCCACCAGACTAGGGCATGGGCAATAATGCTGAGAGGCCAGCACATCCCCAGATCATCCTGGAGGCAGGAGGCAGGCAGAAATTTGTAGTTGGATATGGACCTCAGGTCCTCCACCTGTGCAATGAATCGTTAATATGACCAGCATCTCTGCCAAATTCATCCTTCTGACTCAATCAAAATTGTCATCAAGAGGCTCCAGCAAAAGTTTGGTGTGATGGTTAATACTGAGTGTCAACGTGATTGGATTGCAGGATGCAAAGTATTGATCCTGGGTGTGTCTGTGAAGGTGTTGCCAAACGAGATTAACATTTGAGTCAGTGGGCTGGGAAAGGCAAACCCACCCTTAATCTAGGTAGGCACCATCTAATCAGCTGCCAGCATGGCTAGAATATAAAGCAGGCAGAAAAACGTGAAAAGACTAGACTGACCTAGAGTCGCAGCCTATACCTTTCTCCCATGCTGGATGCTTCCTGCCCTTGAACATGGGACTCCAAGTTCTTCAGTCTGGGGACTTGGACTGGCTCTCCTTGCCCCTCAGCTTGCAGATGGCCTATTGTGGGACCTTGTGATGGCGTGAATTAATACTTAATAAACAAACTCATATATATATCTCCATCCCCTGTTAGTTCTGTCCCTCTAGAGAACCCTGACTAATATACTTGGCAAACAACATTACCATGCACACGAAAAACGCCAAATGCCTTGGTCCTGAAAATAAAGATGGTAGAATCGAGTGTGTGTCCAGATTAGGAAAGACAAATCAGTTTCATCACATTTTCCATCCTAACTAGTGACAGTAGCAGCCGTGGTGCAGCCAGAGAGGCCCTGCGGACAAGCCCAGGGGATGTTTTTCCCACTGAGGCGGTAGTCCCGGCATCTTTCTGACTTGCTCAGCGCACGCCATTACTCACGCGTCCTGGTGCTGTGTTCCGAGGGCTGTGTCGAGATATTTGGTTCACTGGAATCCTTTCTCAGTTTCTAAGTTAAATTTTCCTATGTTCATTCTCATCGACTAGCTACAATGTCTCCACTTAGCTTTTTCTCCAGGCTCACTTAGGTTTCTAGTCATCTTTTGATTCTTTTTCCTCCTAAAATGTGTACAATATTACAGTCATTTTTTAAAATTACCATAGAAGGAACCATATTTTGTTTAGCAGTTGTTAATTGTCCATTTTTTTTAACAGTTGTTGATTTTGATTCAATGTTCTCTTTTGATTCAAACTTTCTGCTCCCATAGTAAAAAGACAATTGTAGACTGGAGACACAGTCCCACAAGTGAGTGAGTGACTCCAAGGGCCAGAAGCCGTCCTTCGGGTGGCTCGTTTTAACATGAGGTTTCTGACAGCATACCAGCAATGCCCTGTATCATGTCCTGCATCCAAACAAGCACCCATTTATCTTCACACACACACAGATGTCAGCGCACACTCCAAAACTCTGAATGGCAGGCATGTGCGTGTAACTGCCACAGGACAGCAGTGTAAGTGGTGGTACTTGTAACCCCTGAGCACACTGGTTTCAAAGGTCACAGGGAGAGAGATGCATCCCATGTTGCAGAGTTCTAGTTCTTTACATTCTTGGGCATAAAAGTATTAACAGAGACTTCACTGGCTTCCCTGTACTTGGTGTTAGAAAAACTATAGGGTTAAATATTTGGATCCATGTTTATATTTAGGGATGATTAAGAGATACAGTAGGAAAATGACTATAGCCATATCTCAGATATCTCAAGATATCGGAGTGTCTTGAGACGCATGCTTGGTGAAGGTTCTTAAACTCATACCTGTGCTGGGTGGACAAGGAAGGAGGCTGGCTTCATGCTTGGAGGAAGGGGACATAAGCTCCCTCCCACTTCCAGGCCTGGGACATCTCACATCTTAGCTGCAGAGTCTCTTTATCCCCATGTTTTTGTCTAGAGGCTTTTTCTGATGACTCTCATCTGACCCTAAAAGATCCAAATGTCTCTACATTCCTACCCCTATTTTGATCTTTCTGGATGCAATTCCTTCTATTCTTTTGCACTTATCTCATTATTTTGTATCCTTCTCATTTGGAATGTGTTACGGTTCATTCAGAGTGGACGGGGATTACAGTTTCGTGAGCCAAATATGTAAAAGGTATGTTTAGATGTTTTAAAAGAACCCATACATGTGGAAAGCAAAATATTAACTACACATCATGATTTTCAACCACACTGCAAAATGCTCCAGAACCTCTGATTTGCAAAGTTCTGGGCCAGTTTTTAAAACTAGTTCCATAACTGTACAAACGTAAAGAATCTAACATTGAACTTCATTGGATTCTCAAAGGAATCTGGGATCCAGACATGGTCAGAGTCACTGGACAGCATCCTGGTGAATTCTGCTGTTTCCTGTGAGTAGTGCACAGCCCCTCAATAAATGCAACCAATAAAATTATCCTGAATGAAAAGTAGGCCAATGAAGTCAGGAGGTCTTTGAACATGACTCTAGTTTCCTGGAACCCTCTCTACCTTGGATCTCACTTCAGAAGCATTACATTACTCCTGCTACCATCTCAGGATCAGGTGTGATAATAATAAAAAAAAAAATTTAACAAGCTATATGACAGGTTTTGCCCATTTAACTTATATATGAATTGAGTCATGTTATATGTTTTTTTCCAAGACTTACTTTTTTGCACTCCACAGGATTTTTCCAATGCACACGTGTTGATGCGTGTAGTGGAGTTCATTGATTTTCACTGAATAGTGGTCAGCTTTATAAATACATAAAAATTTATTTGTACATTATACTGTTGATAGAGACATTGTTTCTTTTTTTCTCATTATATACGGTACTACAGTGAATAATCTTACTGTTATTTTCTAGTTAAGAGATTCTCGGCCAGGCACGGTGGGTCACGCCTAATACCAGCACTTTGGGAGACCGAGGTGGACGGATCATGAAGTCAGGAGTCCAAGACCAACCTGACCAACATAGTGAAACCCCGTCTCTACTAAAACACAAAAATTAGCCAGGTGTGGTGGCGCATGCTTGTAATCCCAGTGACTCAGGAGGCTGAGACAGGAAAATCACTTGAACCCGGGAGGCGGAGGTTGCAGTGAGCCAAGATCATGCTACTGTACTCCAACCTGTGCAACAGAGTGAGATTCCATCTCAAAAACAAACAAACAAACAAAAAAAAAAACAAAAGAGAGAGAGATTCTCTAGGAGACGTAATCCAATGGAACATTCTATTATAAAAGAAATATCCACTATTTAAGTTGTCCAATGCAGCAGCCACTGGAACTCCATGTGGATATTGAGCATTTTAATGTGGATAGTACAACTGAGGAACTGAATTTTTAAATTTCTTTTAATTTTAATTAATTTATATATATATTTAAATAGCCACAAGTAGCTAGTAACCACCATTTTGGATAGTGCAAGTCTAGACTTTATTTAGTAAGAGTAAATATCAGAACAGAATTACTGGTTGGTAGTCAGAAAAGACTCCAACAATTTTACATAATGCCAAATTGTTTTCAAAAATGGTTTTCCCAATCCTGTGTCTCCCAGCAAGAGTTTGTGTTGTTCCACATCCTTGCGAATGCTTGTGCTGGTTGACTCTAGGGACTGTGGTTGAGCCTTGGAGGCTCTCTCTTCTGCTGTTCTCTGCGACTCATTCCTGAGAGATGCAACAGAGCATGTAGATTATCACCTTGAGAAAAGGCATAGTTTGGGCTGGGAAACACTGTTTTAGTATTGTGTTGGCTCCCACACACTATATGAAATGACTCAGCCCATGTAAAGCACGGTGTCCAAGAGCAAAAACATTTATTGAAGGACAGGAAAGGAGACTTGCATGAATGTAACAATATTCCAACTCAATGGATAAGAAGACAATATAATAAAGATGTAAAAAATCCCCTAGTCAATATATAAATTCAATACAATGTCAATCACAATCCTAACAGGACTTTTTATAGAACTTGAAAAGATGATTCTAAAAGCTATATGAAGGAACAAAGGATTAAAATTAAGTAAGGGTACTCTTAGAGAAGAATTAATAGGAGAATTTTCTTACCAAATATTAAAATCTATTAAAAATCAGTAATGATCAAGATAGTGTGGCTTCGATGTAGGAATAGATCAATAAAATAAAAAAGAACCTGGAAAAGGACTCACATAAATACAAAAAATTGACATAGAATACCTGACATTGCATATCAGTGGGAAAAAGATGATTTCATGAATAATGTGGGGATCATTTATGGGAAATATCAATTGACTACTTTGTACTTTATGCAAAAATCAAATCCAGATAGATTTGGGACTTCATATGAAAGAATAACTTTGAAACTTTGTCTTGGAGAAATCCTGGGAGAAGTGTTTCTTTTGCCTGAGAATAGGTACCGCATGTACTATCTCCAACCATAGAGGTTAACAAGGAAATAAATGATTATCCTATCTCCATTTACACACACACACACAGAAAAAAAAAAAAGAGAGAGAGAGAGAGAAAAGGACAGTGCACATTAGAAAAAGTAGGTACACTGATATTATCTATCAAATTCCAAGGTAGCAAAAATAATATTATTACTAGCTTCACAAAAAACTTCACCAAGAGTTTCCTGAAATAGTGAGTTCTCCAATTACTTTTTTTTTTTTTTTTTTTGAGGCAGGGTCTCAGTCTGTCATCCAGGCTGGAGTGCAGTGGTGCTATCTCAGCTCACTGCAACCTCCATTTCCTGGGTTCAAATCATCCTCGCATCTCAGCCACCCAAGTAGCTGGGACTACAGTCATGTGCCACCATGCCCTGCTAATTTTTGTACTTTTTGGTAGAGACAGGGTTTCAGCATGTTGGCTAGGCTGGTCTCGAGCTCCTGACCTCAAGTGATCCGCCCACCTCAGCCTCCCAAAGGTGGGATTATAGGCGTGAGCCACCACACCCAGCTTCTAATTACATTTTAAATCATGATCATTTCACTTACCCTCCTTTCAGAAACACATTTAAAGCACAGAGTGAGGCAACTTTTACATGGTACAGACAAGATTATGATTATATTATCTGTATTTTAAGTAATATATTCATAGTTCTTAAAGCTAACAAAATCTTTTTTGCACGTGCTTCTTAAGAAGTAAATGCTAAAAATGAAAATGCCCACTGACCTAGGATATCCCGGAGTGGAATCGACTGTCCGTCAGTGTGCTCTTAGAATCACTAGAGGTGTTTGACAGCTGTGCTAAGCAACAACACAGAGTGCAAAGACAAAGAAGTAAACCCAGCCAGGGCACTCTGCCACCACACCGA